GGGGGGGGGGGGGGGGATGGCTCAAATCGCCGATACGTATTGCGGTCTATCGCAAGTCTCAGAAGAATGAAGTAAAGACGAGTTTCCAGGGATGCACGCAGTACTCCATGGGACTTTACAGTGAATGATTGGCTCGTTCGGGCGGGGGGGGGGCTCCACAGCTGCGCCTGCTCCTATCCGGGGAAATAGGCGCGCGGAAAAGTGCCGAAAACTTCACGGAGGCGGTTTCAAGCCTTGTCACACAGACGCCGAACACAGCGGACATGATCGTGACAATTGACACGGAGACTGCGCGAGGCCACAGTCATACACTGCTTAATGACGTGATCATTCGATTCGTTATGATCATCGGAGATCCGTCATCGATAAAGTTTTTGAAGCAACGTCCAGGCTGGTTGTGTCATCGGCGGTCGATTACCTTCAATTCCATACAATCCACCCTCATATGCTGCCTCTCACAACGTCAGCCGAGCTCTCCGACAATACTTCCACGCAATTATCGAGAGGCTAGATAGAGACCGCAGCGCGTCGTCGATCCAGGGTACGACACAATGAATGCGGGGCAGATATGCGGGACCAAGTATCTCCTACCAATTGTGGCGATACCTCTGGTCCTGCTGCCCTTGTTGTTTACCGAGTGGTGGACCTGGCCTGCCAGCATGCGCCCCATGCACACTGCCTGGATCGCAGGCATAGGTACGCCTCGAGCCATGGTGCTGCCATCAGGGCTGTCGGGCGTGTCAGGCACTCTGTTCAGCGGGGCAAAGGCCCGGAGCTTCACAGGACCCAAATTGCTGCAGCACCACATTCAGTTGCCACAGAAGTCTCCAGCAGGCCTCGATCGCAAGTCATGGTGCACCAAGTGGGCTGTTGTCACCACAATATTCAAGCCATCTGAAGCTATTTTAGCCGCCGCAGCCCTGAAGGGCTGGGCCGTGGTCGTGGTGGGGGATGAAGGCGGCGCCCCCTTCAACATCTCAATGGAAAGTGTCGTATATCTGGATGTCATGGAACAGCGTCGCCTCACCGCGGATGCAGCACAGTATGGCATGTTTGCCCGGCTGCTGCCGTGGAAGCATTTCGGTCGCAAGAATCTGGGCTATCTGTTCGCAATATCCCATGGTGCTGAGATTATTTGGGACTTTGATGATGACAACAGCTTCAAGAAAGGGCTTGAGCCGAAGTTGCCAGATAGCAATCTGTTTCAGGTGCGATCCTGCCTCATTTGGACTTAGCGGCGGCAGCGAAGCTAGATAGAGCTCTACCGACGTCAGTGTGAAAGGGGAACTAGGTCCTCCGGGCGGGGCGACCTGCCTGAAGTACCCAGTTTCCCCATCGTGCAGCTGACATTGCAGATAGTCTAGAGTGCAGGTCTGCCCATGCACTGGGCGTATAACAGCCTTTTGTATTTTCTTTCACATATCACTCACAGCAGGTTCAAGTCCCCAGCAGTTGCGAGGCATTTAACCCCTACACCTACATGGGAGCACCCAGCACGCCAGGCGGCGGGATTAGCAATAATGTTCCTCCCCCTTGGCCGCGCGGCTTGCCCCTGGGTCTCATTCGGCAGCCCTGCAACGTCACCCTAGAGCCTGCAGGGGGCGCCACGATCAGCGCCGTCGCAGTGGTGCAGTCCCTGGCAGATCACGATCCTGATGTTGACGCCATTTTCAGATTAACTCGGGGCGTCCCGTTCGACTTTGATCCTGCCAACAAGAAGAGCCTCATCATTCCTCAAGGCACACTGGCACCCTGGAACGCTCAGGCAACGCTTGTGCTGAAGCAGGGTTTCTGGTCACTACTGTTACCAACCACGGTAATAAGTGATATGTGCACAGAAAGGTTGTGTCGAATTGCTTTCAGCGCTGACCTCCAACACACAACCGCCAACCTTCACTCAAAGGACGGGGTGGGGTGCACCGTCCGTCTCCTGCCATGACTGCTGGCATTGTTGCAACTGTTTGCACCATCAGGAGACCTGCCTTGGCTATGTTTTGTGGTTTTGGATGGGCAAGGACGCATTGCCAATCGAAAGTCCACACGAACGTGACTCTGCCAGACGCTGCATGTGCTGTGCTTTTGCAGGTACACGGAAGAGTGAGCGATATCTGGCGCAGCTACGTGGCTCAGCGTCTCCTCTGGGATGCAGGGCTGCGCGTTGCGTTCAGCCCCCCCGTGGTTGACCAGTTTCGCAGCCCGCACAACTATATAGGTGACATGAAGGTACGGTGCGCTAATTTGGTGTGAAAGAAGTAGGACCTAAACGCAATGCTTCTGTCTGCGCTCTGGGGTGGCTAGTCGGCTGTCCATGGCATACGTACGTGTACAGCGTGTGTGCGGAGTGCTCCTGGCACAAATACATACTAGGTGCCGTGCACAGCAGTAGTGGTTGCCCCCTTGCAGCTGTGATTTAGTGTATGCGCAACTCCTTAACTCTAAGTCAGGCTGAAGAGGATCTGTACTACAAGGCTGGCCAACTAGTCAAGTTTCTGCGGGATTGGCAAGGGACTGCAGACAGCCTGGCTGGACGCTTCGAGGAATTGGTCATTGAGCTGTATGAGCGGCAATATCTGCAGGTTCATGTGAGTTGATGTAGTCTGAGCCCTCCCCGCGCATAGAGCAGCCGCCTTTGGCCACAAGGTTTGGATGCACGAAGGCATAGCATGGTATAGCACTTGCTTGTGGGCCGCCATCAGCTGCTGTCATCCAGAACCTCCTGAACTTCTTTCAAAAAACTTGACATTTTCACACGCAATACTCTTGGTGCCATGAGTATACGCGCATGTCTGGTACGCCGCCCATGTGACATAGAAGAGCCTCATGCAAGGTAGTGTGTCACGATCAAAGCAAAGCACATGCCACCACCATGCACTGCCACAATCATAGGATGTACACCTTGCACAGCAGTGGCTCCTTGCACTCACAAGGGCTGGATATACCTTCCCTGCGCTGGCAGCTGCCTGGGCGTTTGCTACCGCCAACAGCACGTCCAGGCATACGCCGCCTTGAGGCGCTTGGCGGCAATGTTGAGCTTGGGCCGAGCCTTGCTTGTGTTGTCGTGCGTGATGTGCAGGGCGGCCTCCTTCAGCAGAAGCTCTCACTTTTCTGTCTGCCCAATTCACTTTTCAATTGCTTGCAATTGCTGTTCCTGACCCTATTGCTTGACATCCGGCGACGCGTGCGATGCAGCGTCTTTGATCATGCTGCTGAACAACCAATGTTTGACTTGCCGTCAAAGCCGTAGCGCTCAGCATGAATACCTGTATGTGCTGCCCCTGCAGGGAGCACGCAGTGACATCCGCTGAATTCTACCGCAGTCAACAACGGCGCTTTGGACCGCATTCCCGCCCACTCCGCTGGGTGCATGGTTGTGGGTGTAGCGTCGTGGCTGACTGCCACTGCAATGTTGCCTTGCACCTGAGGTCAGTTGCTGAGCTGAAGACAAAAGTTTGACCAAACGTGTTACGTGCTTGCCTTCATGAACTGCACAAGTACAGGTCTCGCCTATTTGCTCTATTGTGTGCTTCCCTAGGGCAGCACACAGGCCTGCAGGCGCAGGAATGACGAGTTTATGTTCATGTTGCTTTTTTTAGAATGTCCAGATGACTGGGGGTGACAGCGATGGCAAGGCACAGGCACTCGCCCCCCTCCCCGGCGCAGCCCAGTCCTGCAAATTGGCCGCCGCAGGCGAACCGCGCAAGCGAAGCAGGCTCACGCAGCCACCGCACAGCGCCCGCCCCAGGACCCGCTGCTGGCAGGAATTCAGCAAGGAATGAACGCCAGCGTACGCGGCTGCAGACAGCTTGCGCGCTTCAGGAACGTGTGGATCCGCCGCCATGCGCCAGGACGGAGACATACTCGACCGCACCACAAAGCTCTCTGTGCTGACGCTGAACGTGCAATGAATTGTCACATTCTCAGGCCACCTGCGCAACCTCATGGCCAAGACAGCGTATGCGCCGCCCGACATTATTGTACTCACAGAAACCAAGCAGACTGGCAAGAACCGCGTACTCAAAAAGCTGCTCACCCCCTTGCTCCGCCGCTGCTCTTGAAAAAGACAGTGGCCCTAGGGCAGGGGTCCTTGTGGCGGTGCGCAGGGCGGAGGTGCCTCATTGCACCATCCCCTTCTCTGAGGCGGCAGACCATGCTCTGCGCGGGCAATACCTCATTGCTCTCTTGGATGGGCGGGCACACGGCAGCGAGCCTCCGCATCATCGGGCTGTACGTCCCCTGCGCGGGGTCAGCAGACGCTGACCTGGGGGCCAGCATCACGGCGCAGTTGGAGGCAGACACAACAGACAGGGACGCGCGCCCCACACTCGTTGCTGGGGACATGAACGCAGCGCTGTACCCAAGCGACAGGACAGTGGGGGAGGAGAGCCCCCGCGCATACACCCACGACCGCGCTCACAGGGCTGCGATGGAGGGCCTGCGACTGGCGCCCGTTGACGCACTGCCCACACCAAATGCGACACACGCTAGGCTGAAAACATTCCGGAGCCAAGGCAAGGGCTTGATCAGCAGGATTGATGACGTGCTCACAATAGTCCCAAAGGAAGAGCTGGCCAGCATGGGGGGTGAGACGGGGTGCAAACTCACTGCATGGAAGGGGCCAGCACTGATCACGACGCACTCGAGGTCAGACTGCCATGGGCAGCCCAGGCATGGAGCCGCTGCAGGACCTGCCACCGCTCCCAAGGGGCCCGCCCACCAAGCTGCTCAAGCTGCCCATGTCACAAGAAGATGTTGAAAACAGAAGCTAACTGAAGCACTAAGGGGAAAGCTGGGGCCGGAGCTCGCTGACCTGCAAGCAGAGCTCCTGAAGGCGCATGGGAAAGATTTGGACGCGCACAACGCATACCTTTGTTTTGCAGAAGGACCCTGGAGAATGGCACAGGTTGGAGACCATCCAGGGTGCACCAGCACACCAATGAATCGATCAGGTGTCAGCAAAGGTGTGTGCAGTGACATTCTACAAAAGGTGCAGGCGTAGGCTATAGTCACCTGCACCACAAAAATGACAAACCCAAGGGGGCAAACACTTTAAGCCGCGGGGGTCAGCGACACAGTCGCGCCGCATGGCCGAAACGCGAAAGGCGCTGGCAAAACACCAGCCACCGGGGTGCGTGCAGCGTGCTGCCGGCAGAGGTGCTCGCGGCGCTCGCAGCCATGAAAGGGGGCGACCCAGCCACCGCCCAAGTCAAGAGAGAGAGAGAGAGAGAGAGAGAGAGAGAGAGAGAGAGAGAGAGAGAGAGAGAGAGAGAGAGAGAG